GGCGAGCTCGAGTTTTTCGCCAGATCGGTAAGTTTGCACATCGCAGCGCAAGCGTGAACCCTGGGTGCGCGTGACAGGTGTCCCGGGGAATGGGCGCCGCGAGGGCGCGTCGGTGAGGGGGTCAGAATCGGCGCCGTTGGTTTTGAATTTTTCTGGAACTTGTTTTGAACTATTCGGCGAACTTTATTTGAACTTTGGACAGAATCAGCAAAAGGCCCACTTTGTCTGAGTTCCAGCATTACAAGTCTAAGCGCAGTGTGGTGGTGTAGGTGCACCTCAGCCCCAAGAGGTGGCACCAGTGTATTAAGGCCTCGGCCTGCCACTGCCGTGAAACCGGTTCCCGTCGCGAAGGGGCCACCCACGGAGGCGATGTCCCGCGGGGGGCAGCCGTCCGTGCATTCTTATTTGTCACCAGCTGCGCGCTTGCGCGCAGCAAAGGGACGGTTGAGGACCATGGGGCTGCCGACCCATTGGGCCCCGCCTGGCACAGAGGGGTCCCATATGGCCCACAGGGTAAGCGCGACGGAGACCACTTCGCATTGGGAGGTGGAGGTTGCCCCCAGCTGCCCGAGGTCGTTGTTGTCCAGAAAGCAAGCGTTGCGTTCCATGACGGGCTGAGTGGCAACTCTGAGAATTGACATGGGGGGGGGGAAAGGGTCTTGAGCCGCCGACGAGCTGCGCGGGCCAGCCCTTGAGAGAGCGGGGAAGAGGCAAACGTGCAGGAGGGCCGGCTCCTCAGGCCAGGGGGGGGGGGGCTGGTTCCTGGTGGCGGGCCCCTGTCGTCCTCACTTGGGGGCGGAGCCCCTCCCCCGTAGGCGTTTGTCAGCATAGTGTGTATCCCCTCTGGGGGAAGACCGTTTCCCCTTGGCCCTCCAGTCTGCATCGACCCATGTGTCCCGCTGGCGGTCCCACCCGCCCCAGGACTGCCGTGAATCCCAGGGGGCGGCCGACCCTGATGTGCCTGACTGCGCGGCGACTCTGTAGTCGGTGCACGGCGGGGGGGGCCATGTGGCCTCTTTGCCCTCGTCAGCCCAAGGGTTCCAGCGTCCGCCTCCGATGGGCCCTCCCGAGGCGGCTGCCTGCGAGGCGCCTTTGTCATCGGCGGACTGCGGGGTGTAGTGGGTTTTGCTTTGTCCTCGTCGGCCCATGGGTCCCAGCGTCCGCCTCCGATGGGTCCTTCTGGGATACGGGTTTTCGCGTCGCGCTGTGTGGGTTTGCGCTGCTTGTCCATAATGCTTGGCCACTCAACCTGGAGCTGGTACTCTTTGTCCATCCTGTAGGCATCGTAGCCTACTTTGCTCCATGCCTGGAGGAAGTCGTCGCATTGTTGCACTGTGTTCTTCCTGGGGTCGGACTTGATGTTGACCCATGTGCACCCATGCTGGATTTCAGCCTTACGGACCCAGGCGCTCCATACTCCGTTGAACGCACCTCCCAGCGTCTTCTGCAACCTTCTGATCTTATCTGGTGCTGGCTCGTCCCTTGTGACATTTGCTTCGCTGATGGGCCGCAAGTACATGGGGAGACCGCCCATGGGGTCATCAGGGCGCGCTGGTGGGATTGTTGCTGACTGTGTGTCGCGCCCCCGACGTGCGTTGCGTTGTTGCCTGGGTGAGCTGCGGGACGGGGGGATAGAGCGACCAATGGAGGTGTCTTCGGGAATTGTGGGAGGTCGGCGGTCTGTTTTGCTCTCCGGCTGTCTGAGCTTCCTGCCGTCACTGGCCTCGTTTGCGAGGGCCCGCGCAAATGGGGACCAGGCTTGCGAGTCGACCCTCAGGGGGGGTTGGGACCACCGGGGGGGATGACTTTGGGCGGGCTCACGATTGTTCGGTCCTGGAGTGTTGGCATCGTCAATCTGGTGTGCGGGGCTGGCCTGCACCTCGGAGTCGGAAATGTCTGGCGGGCTGCTGTGCGCTTGGACGTCCGGTTCGGATCCCCTGTTGGACTCATCCCAGTCAACCCCTTCATACTCGCCGCCGCCGCTCCCGTACTTGTATGGGGACGGCTCGTCTCTTGCGCATCCGTCCGACTGACCTGGTGCGGCGGGTTGCTGGGGGGACGCGTGGCCACGCGCGTGTTGAGAGGTAGGGCCGTAAAGTTCCTCCTGGGGCCTGTTGAGCCACGTGGCTGTGGGGGGGCTTCCTTTATCCGCATCGCTGGTCTTTGCCACCTTGGGTTGGCCAGCGAGGATCTCTATCGTTCCTCCTGATAGGTTGTCCTTCATCCCCGAGAGGAAGAGGGCGAGTGTATGCACTGGCTGTCGGTAGGGGCACTGTCCTTTCTGGTTGTCGAGTTTGTCTGCGAAGCGCTTCCATTCGTCCAGGTGTTTTGGGTTGCTCTCCACTAGCTGTGCGACGGCCCTGGCAGCCGCGGCCCTCTGTCCGTCCCAGGGGATGCGCGGGGGATGGCCGTTGCTGGGTATCTCGTCCCCGTAGATAGTTGCCAGGAAGGACACCAGTTGTTCAGGGGACCATCGCGATTCGTCGGTTACCTCGCCCACAATGTCTCTTCCCCAACGCTGCGCGTGGGCTGCCCAGAAGGTGTAAACTGCGTGGCTCCACTCAATCAGGTGTTTTACCAACGCGCGGACAGGGCCCCTCGACTCGTCCCCTGCCAGGCGGTGGGTGGAGTGTGTGGGGAGCGACGGCGCCGCGGGCGGTGGTAGGTCAGGGAGCGAGCAGCCGAAGGTGACCCCTCCGGCTGGGGCCCCTTGCGTCTGCCCTGCAAGGGGGTGTGTTGACCGGCCGTCGCTTGGCGGAGTTGGTGCGTCGGATTCTGCAACTGGCGCGCGGCTGGTTGTGGAAAGGTGCGCAGACATGTCGTAGTTGCACCAGTCCTCTGCGATGTCGTTTATGGCCGGCCTCTTGGTCAGGGAGGCTGGGTATATCACGCTGGAGAACTGGTCCAGTGTTCGATCGAGGGCGCTTGGGGCAATGTCCCAGATGTGAACCAGGCACCTCCTGCAGGCCCACCCCGCGTTCCACTTCCTTTGGACCCATAGCAGAGGCATTGCGTCCCATGGCGGGAGGCCTGTCTGCTCGCTGCAGTCTGCGTCTGCCTCTGGGCGCCAAATGAAGCAGCCAAGGGCTGGGGAGCCCGGCGACCACTCGAGCAAGGGGGAACAGGGGGGACAGGTGTCGCAAGTGGCCGTGTACAATTGGGTGAGGTGCACCTCGGTGCCGAACCTGCCGTCGGTGAGCCTGTGTGGTGGGAGTGTGGTGCCTGCGCTGGTTGGCTGGAACTGGCGCGGCGTGCGCATGACGAGGTTCTTCAGAGAGGTTGGGGCTGGGGCGCCGGCAGGCTGCCCAAACCCCAGCGGTAGCCTGGACAGTGAGGGGAAAGTCCTGGCTCTCTTGCTTGCACGGTCGTCGTCCACTCTGCGTTTGTACTCCTGTAGTAGCCACTGCATGGACTTCTTGGTGTTGCGCTCTGTTGAGTTTGGTTCGGGGACGTGTATCCCCTTGCTTTCCAGGGAGGCGACCCAGCATTGCTCGCAGAGCCATCTGCAGTTCTTGCCCTTCGTGTAAGCATGAGCTCGGTTCTGGTCTAGCAGTTCCTGGGTGTCGTCGTCCTCCCAAGTGCCTGCTGCTCTTTGCAGTCCTGTGTTGGTGCAACCGTCGCAGTTGTAGGTGGCGTCCTTCTGCAGCCTGCAGAAGCGGTCGTCTCGAACGATCGGGGGGGGAAGTTTTGTTCTTGGGGCCGGGGAGGCCGGGATGTCTTCGTCGAGACGGTGGTTGGATATTGCAACCCCGCCCCCTATGTACTGCAAGTCTTCCATGGTGTGTGGACTGCCGAGCCCCACGTCTGATCCCGTCAATGCCTTGTGTAACTGGCAGATGGAGCAGTCTCCGCTGCTTAGCTGCTTGACGTTCGCGGGCTGGACTATTGTCTCCAGTACGCGGAAGGGGGCCTCGAGGGTGAAGTCCTTTGGCTCCCATACGCGCAGCATAAAAAAAGGGGTCGCCTCCCAAGGACATGCTCAGGGGGGAGTGCATCAGCCTCCAATCGCCCATGTGTCGGCGTCACCCCGGCATACTAACACTATGTGTGTGCGTCGCCCCCCCAGGGGAGACGCGCGCACCGAGAAATCTCATAGTATATGCGTCGTGACGGGTGATTTCTGGCCACGCCGCTCGGGAAACGATATACTACAAGATCGGTATACTATGTGCTCGGGTCGGACGCGCGCCTCCAAGGAGGACATATATAGTTTTAGCATGTCTCTGTGCGTCCCCAATGTGCACCGTCGAGCCCGGGACTCCCTTGCGTCGTGAAGAAATCAGGGCGGAAGGTTTACCATCTGCAGCCTCTGTGGGGCCCCTCGCCAGGCCCCGGGTGCCCGCGCCCTCGCCAAGAATCGAGTCAGGATGAGAAGCCACTTGTGGGGGGAATAGCGGCGGCAAGCGAGGGCGGAAGTGAGAAGGAAAAGGCTTTTTCACAAGGCGGCTGGACTTCTCAGAAGTCCTCGCGCCTTCTGAGAAGTCTTCTGTGTCCTTCGGGGAAGGCTCAGGGAACTTCTAAGAAGGCCGGGGGACTTCGAGCCTTCTGAGAAGACCCGCCCCTTCTCACTTCCCCCCCTCGCTCGCCGCCGAGGATAAGCTCAGGGGGACGCATCGACCCACAATCGCCCATTCCATCGCCGATGCGAGATGGGCCCAAGAACCCACCCCGCGCAGAGCCTGCGGATTTGCTATCGGGGGCATACCGCCGATTCATTCCTGCGATGCAGCGCCGATTCCAGCTCGTTGCGTCCCCCTGGAGCCGGTCCCCCCCGTATCGTTCCCTCTCACCCTTCATCGGTGGGCACGGTCGAGATGGCTACGGAAAGACTGGGGGCGAAGACCACCGGCGATTCTTGTGGATTTTGAGCCGGATTTGTGGTCGGTGTGATCACGGGCGTTGTCCGCTTGAGACAAGCTGTCACCCGCCCAACAGCAGCCGTTGCCAGTTTTAAGCGATATTTCTTGCTGGCCATCGTCCAAAGTCGGGCCCGCCCGCAGGCGGAGCTCGACAAGTCCGAGGACACCGCGAAGGAGCTCGAGCGCTCGATCGAGGTGCGGCCTCTCCGCGCCGCGGGGCACGAGGGTCTGCCGACCGGCAGAGGGAGCCCACTAGCGGGGGGGGGGCCGTCAGGAAGACTGGGGCCTCCCCTGACATCCTCTCGCTACTGAGATGACCATTGGTGTTGCTGAGGGGATGCGGATGCTGAGGCGGCCTATATATTTGGCCTTACTTAGCTCATGAGTGGGGTACAGGTGCCCCGGGTGATCAGGGGGTTCGATCACTTCGCTAAGTGGGCAGAGCCCACGTGCCCCTGATCGCTATCTTTACTAAGCCACTCAGGGCATCTGTAACCCACTCGTAAGTCAGGTTAGGCCAGATCGAAGCCAACTCAGCATCCGCTTCTAAGCCCCGCATCTCTTTACCAACTCCAGCGGTCATCTCAGTGGGCCCTCGCGGGCCCCGGGTGAACGTTTTTTCGTGCTCCCTGGCGTAACGCTCGTTACCCGGGTCAATCCCCTTCCCCCTCCGGGTAGCACTAACGATCGTATTGGGCGGGGAGGCCTGGACCTTCCCCCCCTGCATGCTAGGGAGCGGACTGCGCTCACAGGCATGGAGTGGTGCTGAAAGACATGCTCTGGTGCTCATGAGCGTGTTGTGGGGCTCGCAGGCTCCCCACCTGTTGCGGCGCCGAGCTCACGGGCATGGCGTGGTGCCGAAAGGCACATTTCGGTGCTCACATGCGCGTTGGACGTGTTGTGGTGCTTGCAGGCTATTGCGGGGCGTATTGTTCAGGCGGACTCACTGCTAAGGTGCCCTGCTCGAAGGGCGGCGGGTCGGGGGACCGAGCGGCTTTCGGCTGGGCGGGCGTTCAAGGTTGAACGCGAGGTAGGGGCTCGTTTCGGGCCACGGGACCCGCAGAAACCAGCCACGGCGCGAAATCGATATCGAAGATGGGGTCGAAGGGCTTCCAGGGCCTTCCAGGAGCTTAGGTCGTTCAAGATTGAACGATCTACGCGGCGTCAGAAACTAACGCCGGAGAGAACGAGCGCCTGAATGCGGGGAGCACGAGCGGCTGAAGGCAAGAATTGTGGTGGAAATTCCATTGCGCTGGAGCTTTCGACCCCATCGTGAGGCTCCTCCTGTTCCTTCTGTTGCTGCGCCTCTAGCTCGTCCTGTTGCTCCTGCCCCGCTCCGTCATCCCCTCCCTCAACGAAGGCCGCCGGGACCGTTTAAAGAGGAAAGCAAGATGCCAGGGAGGAGGAGGTGCAGGAGGAGGAAGATGAGGAGGTGGAGGAGGAGGAGGAGATGAATGACGAGTCCTGAAGGCCTCCGTTGCCCGTGGCGAGCCCCACAAGGAGGCTTTGTAAGCTATTAATGTGCTCGTTGGCACGTTTGGCGTTCTGGTGTACACAGGCGTTTTGGTGCACAGAGGCATTGTGGCGTGCGTAGGCGCTGTGGTACACATGGTTGTTGTGGTGTAAACAAGCGCTTTTGTGTACGCAGGCAACGAGTTGTACGCAGGCGCTGTTGCGCACACGGCTGCTGCAGTTGACACAGGCACTGCGGTGTACAAAGGCGACGTGGTGTTGCGGTCCACGCGGCTGTCGTGGTGTGCGGAGGCACTGCGGTGTACACATGCGGCGGTGTGTTGCACGGAGGCATTGGGCATTGTCGTGTGCGCAGGGGCTGTGGTGCACACGGGCGATTGATGCGCCGGTAGCGCGGACGCACTTGGCGGGTTCATGCCTCGGCCACCGTTATCGTTACCCTCCCGCCCGAACCCCCCTCCCCTCGGGAAACGACCGTTTGCCCAGAGGGAAAAAACGCACACCGAGGACAATCAAACATCGGTTCGGGATGAAAACCCAGTCCTGGGGAAGGGGTCCACCAGACCTCTGCGGAGCCACGTTGTGAAACACATTGCGGCTTCGGTTGTCTGGGGCTCCTCGCGCTCTTTGACGAGGTCACAACGGAAGTTGCCCATCGATCGCTGGAAGTTCGAGAACGGCGTTGAGGTTGGTCCAGTATCGCAAGACTCCACGGCTTTGCTCTGCACAGGCGCTGTTGTTTGCGTGCGGTGCCAGTGAGAGTTTGAGCAGGCGGGCGGGATATAGGCGCCGCTGGCGGTCAGGCGGCTATGTAGCCGCCGTCGCCGCCCCGTCGCCGCCTCGTCGCCGCCCGTCGTCTACGTCTGTCTGGCGCTCTGGCCGCCGTGTCGCCGCCTCGTCGCCGCCCCGTCGCCGCCTGGATCATCTGCGCCTGTCTAGCCCTCTGGCCGCCATATCGCCGCCGTCGCCGCCCCGTCGCCGCCTCGTCTCCGCCCCGTCACCGCCACGTCGTCGCCTAAATTGCACGACATAAATTGCACAACATACATTGCACCGCATATATTGCACAAAGGTTGCATCACGTCAATAGCACCACATGTATTGCGCAACCCATGATCATGCTGATGATGATGCTGGTAATGCTTCTGCTGCAGATGATGACGATGATGCTGATGCTGATTGTGCTGATGATGTTCTAGTATGATGGTTGTGGTGATGATGATGATGATGATGACGACGGCGACGAAAATGATGGTGATGGTGCTGATGATTTTGATGGTGATGATGAGGATCATGGTGGTGATGATGATGACTAGGAGGAGGACGAGGAGGATGCTGATGCTGATGGTGATGACGACGACGGGGACGATGAAGCTGCTGCTGGTGCTGTTGATGACGATGGTGATGATGATGATGATGATGATGATAGTGGTGGTGAGATGATGCTGATGAGGATGATCATGACGATCATTTCTCTCATTATTATGATAAGGATGCTGATGCTGATGCTGCAGCTGTTGCTGATGATGGTGCTGAAGGTTATGCTGCTGATGATGATGATGATGAGGCGGAGGATGACGACGACCACGATGACGATGCCGATGATGTTGATGATGATGATGATGCTGGTCGTGCTGCTGATGTTGATGTTGATGCTGTTGCTGCTGATGGTGATACTGATGATGTTTTGGCTGCTGCGATGATGATGATGATAATGATGTTGATGACAGTGATGCTGCTGATTCTGATGATGTTGGTGCTTGTGATGCTGATGATGATGATGATGATGGTGATGATGATGACTCGGCTGAGGATGAGGAGGATGCTGACTCTGATGATGATGATGACGACGACAGGTACGGCGATGTTTCTGCTGTTGATAACGGTGATGATGATGGTGGTGGTGGTGAGGTGATGATGAGGATGATGATGATAATGACGATAAGCATGTGTAGAATTATGATGAGGGTGGTGATGTTGATGCTCATGCTGATGCTGATGCTGCAGCTGCTGATGATGCTGATGCTGATGCTGATGATGGTGATGAGAAGGACGATGACGTCGACGGTGTCGGCGATGCTACTGATGATGATGCTGATGATGGTGATGGTAGTGGTGATGATGGTGATGATGCTGATGCTGATGCTGATGCAGCTGCTGATGATGAACACGATTATGCGGCTGCTGATGATGATGGTAAGCCGATGACGATGATGATGATGATGATGGTGATGATGACGATGATGATGCTGATGCTGATGCTGATGCTGATGATGGTGATGATGGTGATCAGGATGATGATGGCAATGATGATGTTTACAGTGGTGATGATGTTGGCAATGCTGGTTATAATGATGACGATGCTGATGGTGATGATGATGCTTACGACGATACTGATGATGATGGTGATGATGATGGTGATGATGATGGTGGTGGTCGTGATGATGAGTATGATGAGGATGAGGAGGATGCTGATGATGATGATGACGACGGCGACGGGGGCAATGGTGCTGCTGTTGATGACGATCATGATGGTGGTGGTGGTGGTGAGGTGATGATGAGGAGGATGATGGTGATCATCGCTCTTCGGATTATTAGTACAAGTGTTATGATGCTCATGCTCATGCCAATGTTGATGCTGATGCTGCAGTTGATCATGATGAGGCTGATGATGATGAGGATGAGGAGTAGGAGGAGGAGGGCGATGACGACGACGGTGACGATGATAATGATGATGGTGCTGATTCTGATGCTGATGCTGGTGATTATTATTATGGCAATGACGGCGATGATGATGATGCTGATTATTACGATTGGCGTCTCCAGCGCCGGGAATCTAGGCTTCCAAGATGGGGTCGGAGTAGATGGGGTCGTAGGATCTCGCCGCATCGCCGATGCATCGCCGATGCGGCTCGATGTGTTGCCCGATTTGATTCACGTCGACGTCGCCGATGCTTCGACGATGCATCGCCGATGCATTGCCGATGTATCGGCGATGCGGCCCGATCCTCCGATCCCATCTACTCCGACCCCGTCTGGAAGGCCTTTAGGGAGACGCCGGGAAAGCCAGCTGCGTGATCTGATTCGCGAACCCCTCCCCTTTACTGTCCCTCCCCTCGTCCTACCCGAGAAATGGCGGTGGTGTAGGGTGGACTCTTGTATTATCTCGGACGGGGCTAGGACGAGGACAAATGTGTTCCCAAGTGTTCCAGAACGCTCTCAGAACGTTCTGGAACGCTCTGAGAAGGCCGCGGCGCCCGAGACATTCTCCAGAGCCGCCGGATCTCAGATATTCTCGATTTAGCCTCACTCGATTCTTCCTAGTTCTGGTTTCGTCTTAATATTTTCGGGCCCGACGAGTGGGGATGCCCTTCCCACAGAGAGCAGCGCAGTCCCCTCCTTGGGCAATGGGGCTTGCCACCATTCTCTCGTGGAGGGCAGCGCCATCCCCTTGGACAAGGGAGAACTCGGCGAGTTGGAGGGAGTCGAAAAGGATAAAGCTTCACAAACATAAACTGTTAGTCAGGAGGGACCAAAAACATGCAGACCCAAATAATTGTCGGTTCCCAGGAAGATATGGGAATCATGAGAAGTGGATGGATAAGAAGATCATCCAGAGCATATAGAAAATATGTAGGACTCCTGGGATTTCCCGCTAATCATTCTGGTGCCCAGGTGTCGACCACGGCGATCGAGGAGCTCAAGGGCGCCATCGCAGAGTGGACCACGGAGATCGCAGACCTCAAGGCTCGGCGCCCGCTGCGATCGGGGGCGCGCGCTCGACCCCGAGAGGCCACAGCCGTTTGGGGCGCCAGAATACGCGAACGGTCAGAGGCACAACTCGGTGCCCAACGTCGAACAAGTCTCGGGAGCTAGACCCCGGGTGGACGCAGTGAATAGTCGATGGGCATGCTCCGAGTGTTCGCAGGACCTGGCAAGCGCCTTTCTCTTCATCATGGGCGTTCCGGAGTCGCAAATGCCTCGGTCAAGAAATTGTTGACGCTTCGCGTATCCCCACCAGCCCATCCAGAAACGATGCTCAGGGGAGTTGAGGTGATCAGGGAAGTCGGGGAGCATGCAGAATAACAAAGGGCGGGGGAAGCTGTCACAGACCCCGAGAGGGGGAGGATGGAAGAGGAGTCGTCGTCGTCGTCGTCGTCGTCGGAGGAGGAGGAGGAGGAGGAGGGGGAAGAGGAGGAGGAGGAGGAGGAGGAGGAGGACGGAGAAGGAGGAAGAATCGGAGGAGGAGGAGGAGGAGGGGAAGGAGCTTCTTGGGGGTCTTTTGAGGGCCTCTTGGAGGGCTTTTTGGGCGCCTTGGGGCATCTTGGGCGCCTCTTGGGACCCTCTTGAGGCGCTCTGGGGAGCCTTCGGGGCGCTTTTGGGGCCATCTTGGAGGGAGTCGATCAAACAAGAGGGGGGGTTTAATTAGCGTCCCCCCTCGGAAGCCCCTAAAATCGCCTCTTGGACCCCTCTTGGAACGCTCTTGGAGTGCTCTTGGGCGCTCTTGGGGCCGTCTTGGGGCTCTTTTGGGGCTCTCTTGGGGCCCTCTTGGGCCATCTTGGAGCCATCTCCAGGCCTCGGATGGCCATCGGAAGCGAAAAGGCGAGAAAGCAAAAATCATTGATTTTCCTTAGGTTTTGGGACGATTTTGGCCTCTTCGGGGCCTCCTTGGGGAGCTGTTTGGCCACTTGGAGTTATCTTGGGGCCGTCTTTGGGCTTCTTGGAACCATCTTAGGAGCCATCGTGAGCGATCTTGCGCTATCTTGAGCCATCTTGGAGCTCATCTTGGGTTCTCTGAGGCGCTCTTGGAGCCGTCTTGGGCCATCTTGGACGCTCTAACTACCCGCGGCCCCCCCCGTCCAGGTCCAGGGGAGGGGGTAGGGGGAGGGGTAAACCCCTCCCCAAGGGGGAAGAGGGAGGGGTGGAAGAGGATCTGCTCTAGACCACCTACGCCCAGAGGGCTGGTGGGATTATGAAGGATGTGAATCCATTGTGCTGGAGATTTGCAAGAACGGACATCATGAGTCGGAATTCGCGAGTATGTTCGCAACCCGAAATTTGGGTCCTCGGGCTAGGTTGGGGTGGTTTGGTCGGTAGTCAGGCTGGCGAGCGTGCACGGCGTTCCTCCCTTGTTGCACAGCGCCTCTCCACGCGGGACGGTGCCATCGCTTCCGAGCGTTAGGGTGTAAGTCCTGGGAGGTTCAATAAAGTATCGGCACTTCTGTGTCCGTGGTCCCACCTACTTCCGCCTAGTAATCTGGCTAAAGCAGGCTTCATGCGACTAAATATTGGGTTAACTGCGGACTACTCATGCTTTGCTGCTCTCCAATCGTTCAGACGAAGGCCTCCCAGAACTGGCCTCCTGACGCGCGCGCGCAGCGGCGCTGGCTTATTTTCGTGGGCGGGAAACTGATCCGTATCCGCGGCCTCTCGGGCCGGGACCCTGGGACGTGTCCCCGCGGATGCGTTTTCTTTTGTTCACGGAGGCCACGCGCGGGGCGTATCCCCGCATAGTAAGGATGAGTAATTTTCCAAGGTTGCCGTTGCATCCTTCCTTTTCGGCCCATCCTTGGTTGCTTTCGCTGGCCACGCCCCGCTCGCAAAGTGTCGACATGGCCTTCCAAGGCCCTGCCCTTGCATCCTTTTCGCGCGTCCTTCCTCAGCGGGTTGACTGTATCTGCGAGATCGCGCCCCAGGATCCAGACCGCGAGAGCGCGGCTGAGCGACCCCTCCGATGCCCGTCGCGTGCCGGAAGCACTGGCCGAACGGGGGGCCCGGTATCCGAGCTCGCGCCAGAGAGGAGGAGGAGGACGAGGAGGAGCAGGAGGAGGAGGAGGAGGAGGAGGAGGGGGATCGGTGGTTTAAAGATGGGGTCCTGAGGGATGGGGGTCTACTGATAAGATGGGGTCCTGAGGGATGTGCATTGTTTCAGGCACCTCGTCCTAGGACCCCATCCCTCAGGACCCCATCCTTGAACCACCGAGAGGAGGAGGGAGGAGGGTTCTTGGCGCACGCGTGCGCGACCTGCTAGGCCTCTGCCCAGGGCCGTGGACGCGCGCGCGCGGCGCTGCCGCCTCCCCTCGCGCGCCTGCGTCCTCCGCGCAGGACGGGCCGTCGCCGCCGCGGCGCGCGCCGGCCAGGGCTGCCCACGAGCCGACTCGACGCGAGTCTCGGTACGATAGACACAGTCGCGCCCCCCGTCTTCCTGCGAGCTGCGAGCTGTGGACCCTTGTTTCCAGGAAAGGCCGCAGCCCTCCCTTTTCTTCCTCCTCCTCCTCCTCCTCTTGCGAATGCTGCTGTTGATTGTCACGCTAAGCTGGCTGCCCGTGTGCTGCCGTTGTTCGAAGTGTCGCCCAGGTGGACCCGAGCTGCCCCGCGCCGCAGGAACATCTCTGCGATCAGGCAGCAGCGTCATGATTGCCATTGCCATCCCAACCTCGGCTACCAGTGCAGGAGGTGCTTGCACTTGGGAGGGGATGATCAGCCGAGTTTAGAAATAAATGGATGCGTTGGCGTCCCAGTTGGCATCCGTAGGCTTCTCAAGGACCCCATGGGCCACATTGTCGTGACGGCTGGGTTGCAGCTCGATAAACTGGCCCCCTCGGTGTCTGTGCGTGCGAAGGCCCCTGAGAAGCGATGCTGGATTTGTTTCAGATGTGGAGCCTGGTCCCAGTGCCGCGTTGTGAAGTTGGCGAAACCCTGCATTCGGCCCGATGAAAAACCCACAAAGAAAGGTCAGGAGGTTTTGGGGCGCTACAACCAGGGTGAGCCGCCGAACCGTCGAGTACGGGTGCTCTTGGGGCGTAGCGTTGGCCCCCCTTCGCTCGCCTCTTCGGTCGCGTTGGCCCCCTCGTAGCGCGCGCCTGACTTCACGGCGGTGCCAGTCGGATTTTCGGCCTCCGGGGAAGCACCCACTCACGAGCAACGAATGGCGGCCCTGATGGACCGTGTACGTATCAAGGAAGCCAGACAGTCTGGCTATTCACTCTGACCTGTTCAGACCTTGGCGCCGTGCACTTCCCATTTTTTTGGCATTCCATTCGATTCCATTCCATTCTATTCCATTCCTCTTCCTCCCCCTCCTCCTCCCCCACCTCCTCCGCCGCCTCCTCCTCCCCGTCGCGATTCGGGGGGTGACCTGAAAAAGGGGGGCGAAGAAAGTCGCCCTCCTCCTCCCCCTCCTCGTCCTCCTCTTCATCCTCCTTCTCTTCTCGCTATTCCTCCTCGTGATTCGGAGGGTGACCTAACCGGGGGGGTTAATGAAGATGCCCTCCTTCTCCTCCTCCCGCTCTTCCTCCTCAGGATTCGTTGGGTGACCTAGAGGGGGGGGGGGAGAGATAAGGGCCCTAAACTGCGCCCCTTTCTTTAGGACCCCCCCCCGCCCCCCTTCGCACCCTGCAGAGGTAGTACGACGGTCGACCGGAACTCTTGTTCGTTTTGAGCAGGACACGCTGTCGGCGTCGCCGCCGGCGGTGTCTATTTGAAGCAGGACGCCGCCTGCCCAACAGCGGCCGCTGTCGGTTTTGGACAACATTCGTTTTCGGGCACCGTGCCCATTTTTCCCGCACTTACTTCGAGCGCCCAAGGATTCGAATCGTGGGTCGGGGACGCGGTCCTGGTTCGATCCGATTTGGTCGGGTTCGCTGGCATCGGCTGGGGCCGCGATTCGAGGATGAATCGATCCAGATTCGCGGTTAAATCCGGCTCAGGCCTGCAAGCATTGGCTCCCCCAGCACAGGGCACGATAAGTGTGAACTTCTGAGTGGGCGGACAGCAGCGTCGCGCCCTCGCCGTCGTCTTGGCCGTCGTCTCTCCAGTCGCCCTCGTCGTCGTCCGCGTCTCCGTCCTCCTCATCGTCCTCTTCGTCGCCCTCGTCGTCGTCCTCCTCGTCGTCATCGTCCTCGGCGTCCTTCTCGTTGTCCTCCCCGCTGTCCTCGTCGTCCGCGTTGTCCTCCTCCTCCTCCTTTTCGCCCGCCTCCATTCCATTTCCTTGTAAGCAAATTCTCCCTGTCGCACCCCGAGGCCAGTTTTTTGGGCGGGCCGAGCGCTTCGCCTGAGACGTCCTCACCACTTGTGGTTATGAAACTTAAAAAGGGAAATGTTTCACAGATGCAGGGCGGGTCGTTTCAAAGTACGGCTCTCGCCTCAGCGCCGCGCGTATTCGTTTTAAGAATTTATAAAAGTTTTTTCAGATTGAGGGCGGCTCCTTTTGAAAATGTGGCTCTCGCCTGAGCGCCGCGCCCATTCGTTCCTAAAACGTTGCAAGAGTTCCACGGATGGGGGGCGGTTCATTTTCAAAATGCGGTTTTCGCTTTAGCGCCGCGCATAGTCGTTTTAAGAACTTGCAATCATTTCTCTGATTGAGGGCGGTTCTTTTTCAACATGTGGTTTTCGCCTCAGTGCCGCGCCCATTCGCTTCTAAAACATTGCAAGGGTTCCACGAGTTTCCATGGTCAGCGTTCCAGTAAAGGCGTTCCCGAAACTATCGTTCTGGCACGATTCCATATCGCGCAAACGCAGCAGTCACTTTGATCCGTGGTGTTGGAAACATTGTTCTGGCATGCGTGAGGGTCTTGAAACGGTTGTCTTCCAACGAGGGGGTTCCCTCGATGGCATGGGAATGAACCGTTGCAGGGGCCTATGACGAGGGAACTTGGAAGGAGGGTGAATTCCAACATTGTTGATGACCCTTGGGTTTACATTGGTCCTCTTCTTCCTCCTCCTCCTCGACGTCAGCGTCGTCCTCGTCGTCCTCATCCTGGATGTCCTCGTCGGCGTCGGGGTCTAAACTTTGGCGTCGTCCTCGCCGCCGTTCTGGCGGCGGACAGGCGGGCATCGCGGCCCTCGACAAGAGCGTCGCCGAGGCGACCAAGCTGCGCAAGGCGCCCCGCCCGGAGGGGCTTGGGACCGCGAAGCTCGGACGGGGTTTGGACGAGGATATGTCTGTTGCAGAGCGTTCCAGAACGCTTTCAGAGCATCCTGCGTCCTGGAACGCTCTGAGAAGGCCGCGGCGCCCGAGACACCCTCCAGAGCCGCCAGATATCAGAGATTCTCGATCTATCCCCGCCCGAGTTTGTCCTCGTCCTGGCGTCGTCTTGGAAACAGGGGCAACTTTCCCATATCCCACCGCGTCGTAAACAGAATTGCTGCTGAAGGTGGTTTGCCAGTGTTCGGCCTTTGGAAGCCCTCGCCGGGCCGCGGGGCCGTCAGCAACTTCTCGGGACGGCGGTCCCGGTCCCGGGGAGGGAACCCAAACCTCTGGGGAGCCACGTCGTGAAGACATTTTGACAGAGGATGCTGTCAAGATTTCTTCACGAGGAGGAGGCTGGAGGAGGAGGCGGAGGAGGAGGAGGAGGAGGAGGAGGGAGGAGGGGAGAAGGAAGAGGAGGAGGAGGAGGAGGAGGAGGAGGAGGAGGAGGAGAAATCTTGACAGAGGATGCTTGGGCCTGGGGGGGATAGGCGTAGGGAAGGCGGGGAACGCTGTCGAACGTTTTCTGTAGTTTTCGAGGCCCTGCGCGTACTCCATCAGCTACGCCTCGTCGGAGACGGACTGTCCAGGGGTGGCGGAATCGCCCCGAACGGCCGCAGGGGAGCCGAGTCACAGCCCGGCAGCCAAGGGTGCAGCACTAGAGGGGATAGGCCCAGGCGGGGAGAGCATCGAGAGCCCCAATCTCCCGTCGCCGGCGGGGGCCTCGCAGCCCACCCTGCCAGGGAAGGTGCGCTTCCGATGTCGCCGATATATCGACAGTGCGTCGCCGATTCCAGGTCGATGTTCCTCTCCCTGAGCCAGTCCTTCCCTGACTTTCCCCTCTCCGAAACAGGGTGCAGCGCTGCTGGGGGTTGGGCAATCCCCTCAGGTCCCCCCTTTGACCGACCCAGGTTTGGAGTACCCGACGCTGCTCCTCTTTGTTTCTTTTGCTTCTCTCTGTCTGTTGCGCCTCCACCCCCCTCCTCTGCGCGTGCGCGGCTCGACCTGACGCGGACGCGGCGAGTGCGCTCGCGGGGGAGAGACATCCCCATTCTCATCCTCATCCCCCTCTCCTCTCCTCATCCGTCTCCACATCCTCCTATTCGCCCCTTTCCTCCATCGCAACAGGCTGCGACTGGGGGCGCGCCCCGAGATATTGGCGCCCCCAGCGGACAGCCCCCAGCCGCAATTGTACTACACCTGGGGGGCTGTTCAATGGCGGCCCGCTCTTACACCAGGCAGTTGGGTCGGTGATCCGCCTCTTTTCCTCCGGTCCCTGCTCTTCCTCCCTCCGCTTGTGTTTCTTCCTTCTCTTCCCCCCCTCCTCCTCCTCCTCCTCCTCCTCCTCCTCCTCCTCCTCCTCCTCCTCCTCCTCCTCCTCCTCCTCCTCCAGCCGCTTCAGCGGTTTGTCACACACACACACACACACACACACCACACGCGGCTACTGTACATTCAGGGGACACAGTACAGAGCGCAGCCGGATGGATGGTTCTCTTGTCTGGGGCCCCTTCCGCCCATACTGAGAGGAGGAGCGCGCCTTTCGGGCCAGGACGGTGGCTACTCGCCGTTGTCGCCCTGGTGCAGGACTTCAGTTTCAACATGGCGGGCGCGCGGCCTCCTCCCCCTCAGTTTTTTTTCGGATGTGCACTTACAATCCGATGTACCTCACGGGGGCGACGAGGGCCTTGGAGATGTCGGAAGAGTTTGCTAACATGAGCGTGATTTTTCTTCCACAGGCCGACGACAGCCGAAGGACTCGGAGCACAGCCTATATGTGCACCAATCACACTGGGAAATCTCCTTCGGCTGGACGAGGGCCTCCAACAAATGTTGCGGGACCAGCATTTTCATTCATCGCAAAAGACTGCCGAGTAATTTTCTGCGCAGAATCTATACACCACCTGCCAGATTGGCAGGGCGCTGCGGGGCGGTCCGCCTCAAGTTTGGCTCGTCGGACCTTCTCCTGATGGTACTATACTTTCCAGTGAAGTCTTCTTGTCGTTCCTCCCGAACGCACTACAGAACACTGGTGCAGGATATGATTGCATGGACACGTAAGCTGATCGAGGGAGTGGGGGCCAGATGCACACCGATCACCGGCGCCGACTTAAACGACCGTATGGGATATTCAGACGAAGTTTTTTTCTAGGGCGAGTTTACGATCGGCACCGACCCGCAGTCCGAGGAAGAGGACATGTCTGTGGGCTTGGTGGCAGCAGAAGAGGAGGGGCTTGCCGCGCGCTTGTGGCACAGATGTTTGATAGATTGCAAAATGATGGCAGTAAACACGTTTTTTCCTGCAGGCGACACCTTTTTCGGCCAAGGAGGTCACAGCTCACGCATCGATTTCATTCACGTACCTCAAGGATTGCGACCCTATATCAATAATTGCAAAGCATTGGCGGCTGCAGGTCATTTATTACAAGTTATCAATACATTGGACACGCGGGACCACAGACCCCTCGATATCGAGTTTCTTTACACGTTTGAGGCCACAACTCACCCTCGCCATACACGGGACTACGACAGAATGATGGGTATGTTGCGGGGGCATGAGTACTGCAGCAACCTGACCGAGACACCGCACCAGACGACCACGGACATCGAGGTGGAGAATCGGGTCCGCCTCGCCTCTGCAGCAGACCCAACACGGACGAACTATGGAATGCGGTGGCCTCCCAGATCACGCAGACGGCTCAGTTGGAACTTGCAAAACCCACGTCGGCCGAGCAGGATAAGTCGGAACCCGAGAAGGAGAGATCCCAACTACTTGACAGACGCAGGCGACTCAGACAACTTATCGGCGGCGAACACCCGGATCGAGTCGAGGTAGAAGTATGCCTGGCTCGACTAACGTTTCGCATCAGGAAAGTTTCTAGACATCTTACTTTGGGAAGAAACGCTTCTCTTACGGGTGAATTGAATGCCGCGTGGGAACGTCATGACCACGCTACAGTCCAAGTGTCCATGCGACGCCTTCCCCGAAAAGGACGGGGACCTCGCAATCGGCGGTATCTTGTTGCTCGTCAGTGATGCGAGGCTGAAGACATCAAGAACTTCCTGAAACTACTTGTCGCAGAAGGCGGGATGGGCGGCCACGATTGCGACCTTACCCAGAAATTGGCTACACGTTTTGAATCGCAGCACGAAGGGGGAGGTCGACAAGACCGACCAACATATTTCTCACACTATGCAATGCGTTGATTTGGAACAGGCCAGGGAGGATCCACGAGGAATCAGTACTCAATTGAGGAGGACATCGAAACGACGAGCGACGCCGACGTGGTCGGTAATTGCGGAGTTATGGCTTTTACTTCTGGACGAGGAGAAATAGACTAAGTTCAACAGGGGCGGCCTGGGCTGCGAATTACGACCCGTCATGGCACAGGGCTTTATGGGGGGATGCGTGGACGCGCGGGCGAGTTGTAGAGGAACTTCTACAGCGCCGCTGCTATTTGATATTTCTTCATGCATTGGGCTGGATATACGTGCGAAGAAGAAAGGACCTGCGGGGCAGCGCTGGATGCATCTCCTCTGCCCGATTGGCAAGTCTTGGAATGCATATGCATGGCACCGCGGACGCAAGAATCGGCCTCACCTCTCGTACTATTGTCATGGGTTTGCCAGGCGCAGACGCAGGGGGGGCGCCGTCGCTGCGCGGCTTTTTGTTTCGTGGCGCCTTCAGCGCCGAGGAGTGTTTCGCGCCAGAATAAACGAGGACGCCACTAACGCCTTCGCCAGTGTAAAAAGAGAAACGACCCCCGACACCATAGGCGACTTGCACGATCTTGAAGACTTGCGCTTTCAGCACTCCAGGGCGACCCAGGGAGCCCTTCAGATCGAAACGCACTCTGGACCCTTGGCTCTCAGACCCACGAGTGGCGAGATGATGGGGCATCCAAACCCTGCACGAGCGTTCCCGCATTACTACCGGAAGGGGATCGAGCCGTTCTTGGCCTTCCACAGTTCCACTAGCTCTGCGCACTGCGCTATCGCATACGAGCCCGGGGGCGCGTCGGCAGACGTGGGCGTGACTATTTACGCTGGCGACATCACTACGTGCGTCGCCCCTGGTCAGGCAACCTGCGACGCGAAGAACCCACTGACGATGGCAGCCGCGAGCAGTCGAGAATTATCCGCGCATCTCGTGAAGATCGGAGCCTGCCTGAACGATGACGAAATATCTACCCTGGCTAAATTGCCCGGGAAGGGAAGTATAGGACAACGCCGTATTCTACATCGCGGCCTGATATTTTATTCTGGCAAGCGTCGTCGCTTGCTTAGAATCCCGATGGGGGGGGGTGGGGGGGGGGCTCACTGCCCCCGGCCCCTTGCAGGTAGAACGGGCAAAACGTCTCCAGGCGGGCAGAGCAGGCCCAGGCGTGATTTTAAATTTTCTCGTGCGCGACTCCACGACGAGCGTCAATCGCATGTCCATCATTGCGTTTGTACAATCGGCCTTGCTATCGGGCATGGAAGGGCGGAGTCCAGACAGACATGTCCTACACCTCCGCCTCGGACCAGATAATGCTTCGCGCCTTTCGTAGAGGGCTAGGGGTTCGAGGACTTTCGGAACGCGAGGGGGGGGGGGGGGCTTCGGAGGTGGTCGGCAAAGCGACTCTGGGACTTCTGGCGTATACTTCCGACGGCTCTGGAGCTCCAGGTCAGACGTATTAGATGGTGCCGAGCTATTTTTCGAAGTCGTTTCGACCTCTGGAGGCCCCTGGGGGGCCCCCGAGCGAGGCGGGGGGGGGGGGGGGGCGGGGGGGGGGCGACCGACCACGGCCGTGTGAATGTAAGGTTCGACTCGGGGACGGTAGTTCTTGCGGTGAGTTGTTCTTTAATTATAAAAAGTTTATTTCTACTCGCGGGAAGACCACGTAGGATTAGGAATGAAGCGTCTCTACTGACGGTCACAAACCAATGCTTCAGATGCCTGCAGACACTCAGCACACGAGAGAACACACAACGGCATGTGATGAGGTCTTATCAGCGCAATGTTTGTTATCAGGGTCGCAGCTCTTATGGGCTTCAAGAGACAATTATCCCATCGAGTCTGCAATGCCCTGCATGTAGCTTCACGGCTCAGTCTTTACACCACCTTCAGCTACGCATTCGGGAACGCTGTGCCCTGCCTCCGCCGCGCATTGTACGACCCCGACTTCGCCTGCTCCATGAGCCACATGGATCTATCGCCGCCCCCCCCCCCCCCCTCCCCCGTGCGCCAGAGACCCGCGGGGGGGGAGGTCAAGGACAGCGAGGTCGCAGAAGGGGAAGAGCGCAAGAAGGCGAAGCTGGGCGAGCTCGCAGAGGAAGCAGAGGATGCTCTCGCATGGGCTGAAGGCGCCCTCCGCAACAAGGACGCGCAGGCATCTGTGGTCATCTTACTCAAGATGGCGTTTCAACGCGCACAACAGTTACCAGATATGGCGGCGTCGGATTGGATCAGTTGCATCATGCCGACAGATTCCCAGCAGGTGAAGGCTGGTCGAGAGGCAGGCAACATGCGCGCAGAAGTGTCGCAGATCGCCGCGGCGAAGCCGAGCTTGGGTGCACCGCGTGCGCACGTCGCGCGCGCCGCGTTCAAGCGCCTCTCGGAGCGCGGTCAGGGCCGGGCGGAGAAGCCTCAGGCGCACGCGCTGATGGACGCCTTTTACAAGAAGTTCGTGTCGGGGGCCTCCGTCTCAGAGATGGAGCTCATGGTGCGCCACTTCCGCTTCGAGAAATGCTACAGCGACGAGTGCACTCGCGTCCAGTTCTCCATCGCCGACCAGATGTGCATCCCTCAGACCGAATCATCAGTAGAGATCTGCCACATCAAACAAGAAATTGAGCAAGCCACTCTGCAGTTGATGGAGACGATGGGGGGCAAGCCGAAATTCGGAGCAGCGCCCCGGGGGCGCCTCGAGAGCTTGGCCCAGAAGCCGATCGACAAAACCAAGGCGTCGAAGTCGACGGGCGCGCGGGGCTCGAAGGGCGGAGGGCGCAGGCGAGCAGTTGGGAGCCAAGATGGGCTGCATTGCGGGAGAGAATACGACGCAAGGGGTCTAATCAATCATGATCTTCAGTTCAAACTATTGGATGGAATGACCGGCATTTTTCGTGCAGTCGCCATGTCGCCCATAGCCTGCAAGGCTGGGAGGGATTTACCCAGACTGCGCAATGATCAGGAAGCGTTGGCACAATTTTGGTTCGATGATTGAAGCTTGGCGAATTGGACTTCAGGCCCTTCGTATTTTTTGCCGATTGGGTCGGGGCAGGCGCTGATGCCCCACCTGGGTTGTTTGTCAATGCAGCTGCGATTGCTTATTTTCTAGAAGCTGGTGAGCCCATCCAAACACTTGGACGATTTACACTTCGGACGACTTCGATATGTATTCTCTGACGGCCTCTACATACCAGACTGCTGACGGCTTCCTGGACATCCGCAGGGGGTGGGTCTCTATCATGAAGGCTGGCGCCTTTAATTATATTTTCTTTATATATGTATAGTTGTTGTTCTCTCTTTCTTCCTTTTCTTTTATCTTTTCATTTTCTTCTTCTTCTTATTATTATTCCCTTTTTCATCTTATTCTTATTCTTCTTTTAAACAATATAAAAAACCTTCTTCGTATTATTATTATTCTTTTTTTATTCTTCATCTTATGATTATTCCTCTTTTGTTGTTGTTGTTTCTTCTTCTTATTATTCTGATTATTCTTCTTCTTCTTATTATTATTATTATTATTTTTATTATTGTTATTATTTTTGTTGTTTTTTCGTTCCTTTTCTTTCTCCCTTCTCGCAACGTGTCGTGGCCGACGCGCCCCCGCGCTGTGCGCAGGTAATTTGCATCCGGTTCCTCGGGGTTCCAGGGGCCTGGGGAGAGCCAAGGCCTAGCGGCCGCGGCCCGTGCCCTCAGAGGAGATCGGGGACCTCCGACCCGCGCCGCCTGAGATGTCTTGGGGGATGAGGGTTTATGGGGGTCGGGAGGGGCCTTGGGTTCTCAGCGACGCGGGGCAGGGGGGTCGGAGGCCCCCCCCCCCTTTTTGCGGAGCAGGAGGTTCGCCCAACAAGAGGGCGAGGATGCGACGCCCGCAACTTCAGGGCCCACGTGTCCCGCGACCACCAGGCCGCGGCTGCGCGCTTTCTCCCCCCACTTCCCCCACTCCTCCCCGCTTCTCGGCTTTAGTTCGCTCGCGATCCACTCGGGAGTGGGGTGGTAGGGAGGTAGGGGGATGCGGGCTCCTGTGGACGATTTGGGTTTTTTTTTGATCGCATCAGGGCGGGGGGGGGGTCTCGGACGCCCTGCCAGACACACGCAGTGTCGGCGGCTCGGGCTCAAAGAGACCCGAGGGGCATCACCCCCTGCCCAGACGAGAATCGAGTAGTTGCTTCTTTCCCTGGTGCCTGGTGCGTCGAGGGTCTGCACGGTGCGCATGACTCGGATATCATGCATTGTTACACGGTGCACGACGTGTTAGAGATTGTCGAGCGGTCGTATCTCACGCAGTGCGGCTGGTGGCATGTTCACACACACGCGGCGCAATGCCGAGTCTTTTTCTTTTTCTCCTCCTCCTCCTCGTCTTCCTCCTCCTCCTGCTCCTCTTCCTTTGCCTCCTCATCCTCCTCCTAATCCCCCTCTCCCCCCCATCAACCTCCACTTTTTCCCTCCTCCTCCTCCTCGTACTCCTCCTTCTCCTCCTCTTCGCAGTGTCCTTGACCCCCTTCCCCCTCCCTCCTGTCCCCGCTGAGCGCGCGGGGTGCAAGGTCCAAACCTGGGAGGGGCGACGGCGCCGCCCAGTGCACAGGCGTGGCGCCCGAGGAAGCAACCCGCCCCAGAGGGGGGCACTCTGTGGGCGCCGCCCCCCCCTTGCAGGAGGAGAACGCGGATTACAAGGAGCTGATGCAGAACGACAAGGCCCTGCACGGCTTCCATTCGCATCCCAGCTTCTTGTTCGTTCTCTCGTCGACAGTTTTTGCTTCACCCCGCCAGGCGCGTTGCATCGTAATCACAGTGTCGGACCGAGGTGTAATATCGAGGTCGGTTCGGGGAAGGTGCCCCAATGCTCGTCGTGTTTGCTTGATGATCTCATGCATTTTGGGAGAGGGCATCCTTGAATGCTATTCATTTTGGCCAGCGGGTGATCTCATGTTTTCTCTGTCCTAGTTCCTAGTTTTGGCTGCGTACTCGAAGAAGAAAACATTGTACACTAATAAACTGTCGGAACTGCGGAGTTCCTGGATTTCCGCGGCCACATTGGCGGCGCTCCAGGGCGTGCCAGGGATGGGGGGGTGCATCGCCGAACCAAAACAAATCAATTTGCGCGGCCTCCTACAGCTGATGGTCAACACGTGCACATTGCCGCCATCTTGGTGTTTCTGCGTTTCTTGCTTTCTCTCGCACCCAAGCCTGCAGTTGATGGCTTGGGGGGGGGACTCTTCCCTTCTCGGAAATTTTCCCGCGAACTCGCGGCAGCTGCGATCGGCGGCTGGTTCTCGCGGGGAGCGGCGCCGGACGGGCCGCAGTGCGTGTGTGAGCCGCGTCTTGTATGCCCAGCTTGTTCGCTGGGCTGCTCGCCGTGTCTTGCGGGGCAAGCACATATCCGTAATTATCCGCGTCTTCGTGGGCCAGGCCCACGGGCCGCAACTCTTAGTTGTCTTCGCGGATGCCCCGCGCGGAACGCATCCGCGCGACCACGCGCGGGAGCCGCGCCCCGGAATGCAGACTGCGAGGGCGTGGTTGTGGACAAGTTTGTCGTTCTTGGCATCACTCGGACGTGCGCAGTCTTCTGCAGCAAGGATCATCGAGGAACATGCGAGGCCATCTTGCGAAAAAGACACACACACACACACGAAACCAACATGTACACGGGGGATGGACGTCCGAGCGATGGCGAGCGCTCGATCTCGCTTTCGTCGGGCGGGCGCGATCTCCAGGCATGCAATGTGTCTTGTTTTTGCCTCAGTGCGCGGTCCCGGAATTCCCTCCCCCTTCCTTTCGGGGGCGGTCAAGAGAGGGGTGATGATTTGTCGGGTGGTGATGATGAGTCGGGTGTTGCTAGAAGTGCCCCTGGCCCAGGGCGCCCCCAGGATTTCCAAGGAGGCCCCCACGGCCTCCAGAGCACCCCTCACGAGGTCCAGAGGTCCCCAGAGGCTTCACAATTGAGCGAAAAGCTGAAGGCACACTGGGCCAGGGGTACCTGTAGCAACCCCTGAACTAGGGGGAGGGCGGGGAGATCCTGGCGGGGGTCATGATATCTCCCCAGATTTCACGGCGCCTCTGCTTATTATTGGAGAGGCCTTTCGGTCGGTGCCGCCGACTCTGCACGACGACGACGACGATGTTGATTTGGGTCAGAGTCCTCAGAGATGCTTCTTGGGGTCTCTTCTGAGCGCTCTCCGGGGCCTCTGGGGGTTTTGGGGCCTGTTGGCAACCTCTTCGGGGCCTTGTGGAAGGCTCTTGGGAGACTTTTTGGCCTTCTCGGGGGCCTCTTGGGGGTTTTGGGGGGCCTCCTGGGGGCTTCTTGGCGCTTCCTGGAAGCCTCTCAGGCCGAGGGCTCGAAATGTCCGCTCGGGTCCCCCGTCTGGGCATTTTCTTGAGCTGTTTTTGGGGCCTCTTGGGCCGTCTTGGAGGCCTTTTGGGCCATCTTGGGGCCTTCTTGGATCGTTTTGGGGTTCTCTCGGAGGCCTCTTGGGCTATCTTGGTTTTTTTTGGGGCCGTCCTGGAGTGTCGGGAAGCCGAAATGGCGAGAATTCCCAAATCTACCGCATCAAAAACCAAAATCAATGACTTTTGCTTCTTGGAAATGCTCTTGGAGGCCTCTTGGGCCTTCTTGGAAGCCTCTTGGGCCGTCTGGGGGCTATTCTGGCGTCTTGAACCAATAGTTCGGCGATTCGGGGCCCTGTTGGATCGTCTTGGAGGCTTCTTGGGGAAGTCTTGCTTGGTTCGACTTGGGGGGCTTGAGGCTTTGGGAACTCCCATGGGGGGTTGGGGGGGGCATTCTGACTGGGACTTGCCCCGGGTCCTCCCTGGCCCCTCCCCCCCGCCCCCCCCCCTGCAGGGAAGGGATCAAAAGGAAGGAGTTACCCTTCGATTCACGACGTTGCTGCTTCATTTTGCTTGGGCTGGTGCGCTTGAGGAGGAGGGCCTGGTGGAAGAGGGAGGAGCGGCCACGACGACGACGACGACGAACGGACGAGCGTTGTCCACACGCTGACAGGGGCGTCGGATGTCAATACCTATACGACCACCCTTCGGGTGAGAAGGACGTTGGGGGGAAAGAACCAACCGACGACAACTGCGATGTCTGCGATGGTGACGATGCTGGTGGTGCACCCTTGACGACACGTGGTGACGATGCTGCGTCGCGATGTGATCCCACCCCGACCCCACTCGATCGACCTACCATCGATCTCACTAATCGACCCCACGGCCAATCCCACATTTGATCTCACTATCCTGTGGCCGGTGGTGCTGACATTGAAAACAGTTCGGCACATCGGGCGTTCTTTGCGACCCCCCCAAGTCCCTTATTGACACCACAAGGACACCATCGAAACACCACCAGGACACCATCAGGACCGGGACACCAATCGGGCACCCCTCTCATTATCGATTTCATTATCGGTCTCACTACCGATCTCACCAGGAGACACCACAGGACAACGACGGGATACCGACGGGACACCCGCGGGACACTGACGGGACACTGACGGGACACCACGGGACACCATCGGGACACCAATGGATATCACGATCGATCTCATTATCGATCTGACAACTGATCTCACCATCGATTTCACTATCGCTCCTACCGTATTATCGATCTCACGATCGGTCTCACTATCGATCGCACTATCGATCTCACTATCCATGTCACCACGGGACACCAACGGGACACCGACGGGACACCAACGGGACACCGACGGGACACCGACGCGACACCGACGGGACACCGACGGGGCACCATCGGAACGCCGACGGCACACCTACTGGACACCGACAAGACACCGACAAGACACAGGCGGGACACCGAGGGGACACCCCGCGCCACCGACGGGGCACCCCGCGCCACCGACGGGACGCCGACGCGCCACCGAAGGGACAAACCGGGCCACCGCGCGCCAGGGGGGGGGGGCGGACAACGGCTCCACAGCCCGCAGCCACGGCGGCATCAGTCCTCTCGCGCGCCCACGCAGCGTCGCCTCGCACGCACGCACGACACGAACACGAAACCGAAACAGGTTTCCCGGTGGGGGGCTCTCCGTTCCACTGCGAGCTCACCCCCCGACGTCCGACGTCCCATGGCCACCCCCTGGGCGGCGCACATGCCGCCGGCCATGATTTCCGCACCCCCTCTCGGACGCCTCTCTCTTGGACGGCCCCGACTGCTTTTCAGGTCCTCCAGCCTGGCGCGCGGTGGCCTTCGCTGGCTTCCGCCGACGGCGCGCCGAGAGCGAGGCCCCCTCTGGAGCGCCCCACCTGCCCAGACGTCCGTCGCCCCGATTCTTTCCCGAACGTGGCTCCCCAGAGGCCTTGACCCCAAAGGGGAGGGGGGGGAACAATGGGCACGAGGGTGCGTCGGAGGAGGGACTGGGAGTTGCAGAGGGCGAGGGGGGGGATGGGGGAGGGACGAGCGGGTTGGAGACCAGGGCCAGTCCTCCTCCTCTTCCTCCTCCTCTTCCTCCTCCTCCTCCTCCTCAGCCGTTTGGCACAGGCGCGGCGCCCGTGCTTGCAGCACCATGCTTCTTCAGAATGGCCAGGTGTTGTTGCGGGCCGTTCTGGCTTTAGCTTTCGGTGAGCTCCTGTGGGAGCAAGACTACGAGCCTTGCGGGGCACTCCTCATGGCCAGTGGCAGCGTCGAGGTTTTTCCTGGACCAAGGGCGCCAACATGGGTCTGTACATGCGGACGTAACACGAACTGGTCTTCCAGACTTGTGTGCGAGTGTGGAAAAGCCGCTCGTCATGAAGTACGCCGAGCAGCAGAGCAGAACGCGCGTGGATCTCAGCATCGGCAGCTTCGCGGCCTGCTCTTGGGAGCAAGCGTAGAGATAAGTTTGGACAGCCTCTTGATGAGCTACAACGCAAGTGTGACAAGTTGGCTTCTGGTGGGTGTGGTGGCGATTCTGGCAAGCGTACTGCAGACCCCAAAGACCAGAAAGAGAACGACCTGCGCGATAGCATCACGCAGCTTGAGGTGACCATCAGTCATTGTGACAAGCTGGGTGATGAGGCAATGTTGGAAACGACGTTGTTAGCAGTACGTGGAGAACTCGCTGCGTGCAAGTCGCGACTCACTCAACACACGAATGTGTGACATCGTTTGGCTCACGCGACCAGTAATAAACAACGGCTGGAAGAGAACATTCAGGAGCAGTTTGATCTTATTGCGGCTGCTCAAGACAAGATTGACGACATGCAGGCTATGGCTGTTGCCACTGAACGTCCTCAGCCGCGAGTTCGTACGCACGTTACCTGGCATCCCATGCATCGACCTCGAGTTGGATCCGATGGTGCTGGCAGGGTTCCCCGACCAGGCTCTGGTCAAAGAGATGCCCTTGTCCGAGGTTTTCCAGACATTCCAGACACTGCTGGCAGCTACCCAGCAGGCTACGGTGGCGAAGCCAACACCTGAGTCACCAACACTATCACCTTTCACAAACAGTGGCGCTGGGGTCTCTGCTACTGGTCCTCTCCCTGGCGGCCCTGATGAAGGTGGTGAGCATATTCCAACACCAGGCTTCAGCAGCGCAGTGGGCCTCGAAGATTTCATGGTGGAGGAGATCTTCGAGGCTGCCATCCGCGTCGACAAGGGTACCTTCACCGAGCAGGTCGGTAGCAGGTTTGTCAAGGAGCCGCGCAGTGGGCAGCTCCTGGCTACCGCTCTGCTGCGGCCTGCGTTTGTCCAACTTCGGAGT